CTCTTGTACCCCCAGGAGAGCTGATGATGAGCCTCCTGTGGTATTACAGACCAGAGCACTTACAGGGAGGCCGCAGTCCCAGCATGCACGAGGTGAGTTACCAGGCAAATGGAATGGGGAAGGCAGGGTTTGGCAGAAGGAGATGTTGTAGCATAAGGAGGTGATACTGGGTGGACAGCCATGGGTAGTCAAGTACCTAGACTTGTTACCTTGGATACAAGAGAACTTGGGGAAGGGCCTGGGTTTCAGCCTCTTTTCCCCAATTCATGTTTCAAAGAGTTAGGGGAAGTGGAGTGGCACACCTACCCCCCTTTGATGCTGTCTGCAGCATGAGAGGGAGGGGGAGAAAGACTGCTCCTAACATTCCTTAGCACCATACCCAGTGATGTGCTAGAAGTGGTAATGCCCTCTGGCTGTGGTTCCTGCTGCCCCGCCCCCCCCCCCCCCCCCCCCCCAGCCTGCTTTCACTCTGTCCCTCTGGCACTTTTTGGGAAGATGCACACTGACTCCCCCTCCTTCCCTGGCTGGGGGTTAGGAATCTTAACGAGGGGCTGGAGGGGTTACCTGGGTTCTCCAGGTGCTCCCTCAGAATCTGGGAGGAATGCCTTGGGGTTCCAGGTGAGGAGATGTTAGGCCCACATTCCAGGGAAGCTCCCCGGCTTTCTGGGCACTAGCTGGAGTGATCTCAGGTCAGGAGTCTCAGCAGAGGGGTTGGCGTTAATGTCCACTTTTTCCCTGGAATTAAGTGCTTCCAACCCCGGTAACTGATCTCCTCTCTCCCCTTGAGCCTTTGCAGAATGAAGTCTTTGCATCAAGACATCAGGACCAGAACAGTGTGGCCTGCATCGAGGAAAAGTGCTATGTGCTGACCTTTGCAGAGTACTGCAGGTGGGTGGTGGCCTGTGTCTCTGGCTAGCCTCTCCCCTCAGACTCTTCAGGGCTATTTGGGGGCTGCCTGTAATCTCACTGGGCCTGACCTCCCAGAACGTTCTTCTTTACAGCCTGCTTCTGCCATCTAATATTTTTAGAAGAAAAAAATAATTGTTGCTTGTCTGAGGCAGAGTGGTTGGACAGAATTGGGGGTAGTTACAGTACGGCTCTCAGAAAATACCGAGGAGAATTGGCAGGTGGTCACGAGGGAGGCCTTGGCAGGTCTGTTTCCCCAGTGACAGACTGGCAATTGGCAGAGAGGGTGTAGCCCCTAGGACAGGTGAGGCAGGACCAGCCCAAGTGGGGGGTCGAAGGCTACTTTTCAGCTCTCTGAGCAGGGAAGGGAAGGTCTTTCTGCAAAGGTGGCTTTGATAAAGGTGAATGATGTGTCACTGCAGATTCTGTGCCATGGCCAAGCGCAGAGGCGAGGGTCTACCCAGCCGAAAGACAGCACTGGTGCCCCCCTCTGCAGACTACTCCACTCCGCCACACCGCACAGTACCCGAGGACACGGACCCTGAGCTGGTGTTTCTTTGCCGCCACGTCTATGACTTCCGCCATGGCCGCATCCTCAAAAACCCCCAGTAGCCTCCTCCTGCCCATGGGCAAGTGGGGCTCGGGCGAGGGGGCATTGCTTGAAGCACAGCACTTGGTTAAGGGGCCACAGGGACCCGAGGTTGCTGGCCTGTGGTTCTCTTGGGGGGAGGGCAAGGGCCCCTGTGGGTTCCGGGTCTTATGGGAGGGAAGGGATATAAGAAAAGCATCAGAGCCCACAGCTTGGTCCAGCGTACCTCTCTGTGGTCCCTGGGCAGAGACTCCTGAAGAAGGCAGTCTTCCCTGAGCCTGGGCCAGGCTTGAGGGGCATGGGACCCTGGGGGGAGGAGGAGGTCCTTCAGGAACCAGGCCCAACAGGCCATTCTTTATCCTCCTCTGGGCCCTTCAAGGGATAGTGGGAGCCAGCTTTACCTCACCCACTGTGACCTGCTGCTTCCCCATCAGCCTGGGACCAGCCTCTTTCAGATTCTAGTACTGCTCCCAGCTCATTCCTTTGAGGCATAGAGAGCCAGAGTCTGGCTTCCAGAGCATTGACTTCCTCTTCCTGGATTCAGGGCCTTTCCCTGGCTTTCCTCCTTTGCCCCTGCAATAGCCCCTGGTGCTGGGACAAGTTACCTGGCCCTCAGAGTCATGGGTGTCAGCTTCCTGTTTGCCACCCAGCAGGTCTGGCTTCCCTGAAGTTAACTGATCAACATGGGGTTTTTCATGTCTGGGAGGGCAAAAGGGAGCTAGGAGGGGGTGGGGGACAGGGGGCAAGGAAAATTGCTACCTGATTTATTGAAGACTTTTCCTCATGCCTTACACTTGGAGGTTCTAGGAAACCTCTTGCAGAACTTCACACATGACTCTTCAAGCTACACCCACCTGAAATCAAACCTGCCTTTATTACAATATGTTGTCATGAGTCCATTTGTGTTGTCCCACAGCATAGCAGATCCAGCCCCAGGGACAGCCCCATAAGGCAGCAAGCAGGGCTGGGACCCCAGAATCTGGTAAGGCATGAGGTGGAACTGGGCTGAGAGGTGGTTTTGGGCCCGGAGAAGGCTGTTCTCTCTGGCCCAGCTGCAGCCCACAGTCTAGGTGAGGGCTCGGAATGGCCTGGAGCTCCTGAGCCTTATCGCCAGGCGGTGAGCCCAGTGGAGTGGAAGCTGTCAGTGTGCTGTTGGGCCAAGAATGTCAGGAGCAGCAGCATTGCAGCCTTGGTGTCTGGTGGGATCTTGTCATCAGCCTGAATGAGGCTACAGATGTCCAGGAGCCACATCTACAACCTGGTCAGGGCTGCTCTGGTATAGGAAGCTGAAGCGGTGCCCTATGGTGACCCACTCCTCCAAGTCCTCCTTCAGTGGCAGGGCATGCGGCAGGACAGCCAGCACCTGGGGCTCTGGCTTTCTTGTGGGACTGGCCATCAGTAGATGGGTGAGTGCCCCACAGATAAGATAACATGGACACGATTGCAATGCTCCCATGCCAGGAGGGCCCACAGGAGGCCCACCAGCTTGGGGAAGTATTCCTGGGCAGGGCAGCCCCTGTGATCAGCCAGCACACCCAGCCCGAAGATGGCATTGCTCTACACTTCGGAGTCTGCCTCCCAGGCAGCACTCAGCAGGATGGGGAACAGGTGGGACACAAACTGGTCTGAGGCAGCACCCAGGCCCTTAATAGACTCCCCACTGCAAAGGACGTACCTGCCACTGTGCAGCCCCGTTTCGTCTTGCAGAGCAATAATGGCAAAGACCCAGCAAAGAAGGGGGCGAAAGCGTCTTCCCCAGCCGCAGCTGCCAGGGCAGGAATGGCCTCACCAGCGTCCTCTATAGCGACAGCGTCGTTTTCAGCCTGGTCCTCGTCCTCATCAGCGCCCGACAGGCTGTCTTCCTCTGCAGCATGGCCTTGAGCATGTTGCAGAGCTCACTGAAGCGCCCAGGGCGCTGCAATGTGAGGGTCCCAGAGCTGCTCAGCACCCGTCAGGGCCTCCAGCACGGCCATCAGCACTGTCACCATTTGGCACTCCCACTCCCCGTATACTGCCTGCGTGTAGGACAGTACCACCTCGGCCAGGGTGGCCTGCAGAGCAGCAGTGTTGGGTTCTAAGGGGCAGCTTTGACAGGCCTTGTGCAGTGCACAGCAGAACTGACCCAGAGCCTCATGGGCTGCCTTGCACACTCAGGTGAGGGCTTCAGAGCTTTGAATACTTCTTCAAAGATACTCTCCATGTAGGGAAGGGAGGCCACACTGGTGTTCCCCTTGCCCTGCCACCCCTCACCCTAGTCTTTTGTAGATTGCACTAATTTACATCCCAGTGAAAAAACAACACTGAATCAGTCCGCAGACCTGCTGAGCTGCAGCCACTCACTCTAGGAACTAAAGACCCCATTTTTATTCTTGTTGCCCAGGGGACCTGTTCTCAGACTGCTCCCCAGAGTAGAGTAGGAGACTCAGCCCCCTGTTGTCATTTCCAGAGCTAGGCCCTACCATGAAGTTCTCTGTGGGAGGGCTGGAGCAGCCTGGTTCTTCCCTGTTTGTACCAAAGAGGAGTTTGTGGGGAGGGAGAAGAGCCCTGTGTGGCTTGGGCCTGGTACTGGGAGCCTGCTTGTGAGCACATCCCTGGGGGCAGGAGACAAGGAGGGCAGCACTGGGTCCTTTACCCCCACATGGGCAGACATGGACCCAGCAGGCTGAGTAGGTGGCATTGGGGGGTTGGGAGGGGGGCGGTCAGGCCAGGTCTGGAGAAGATGGAAGTGAATCCTGAGAGCACTCCAGCAATCCTGACCCTATGCTCTTCCTGAGAAAACTGGGCTGCTCCTGCTTGGTCATTGAGGTGAGGGAGGCCTGGATGCTTGAGTGAATTTACACAGGGAAAGCCCAATCCCAAGCCTGAAGAGAAGGGACTCAGGTTCCCTTGAATGGAATAAGCTGTTTGGAGGAAGGCATCGGTCTAGGAGGGCTGTGCAGTAGGAGAGGTTGGCAGAGTAGGGGCTCTGAAGAGCCAGTCTTGGAGCCTGCTGATTTGATTCCCAGGGTGCTGGGTCCTTGCCACCTAGGAGCCCAGCCCCACCCAGCAGGAGAAATCAAGGTCCTTCCTCCCAGGGTCTGCTGCCCAGAACTTAAATGCTTTTGAAATCTCTTAGATGTGGAAATATTTTTTCGAACCTGAAAATGCAGCTGGTAGAATTTCAATGGAGCATAATTCATGTAAAATATATTTTAGTTGATAATTTTGTAAAATGCACTTTTTGTGTGTGTCGACCCTGGTTTCTCAGATCTGTATTTCAGTGTTTACAAGGGAGGGAGGATCTTTCCTCACCTCCCTTTTGACAGAGATTAGAAGTACTTCTTTAAGAAAAATAAATTTGAGAAATTGTATTGATTTAGAAAAGAATCATTTTCTGTGTGTCCTGTCATCTTTTTGAGTGTGGGTACAGGGGCGCTCATTCATTGTTTTGGGGGTCCCTTTTAACCCTTGCAGTGCAGGGGCTTAGAGATCAAGAAAGTAGAGGGAGGAGAGGAGACGGAATGAGAGTTGACTTGTTAGCACCGTGGTGGCCAGAGCCACCTCCTTGGACTGAAATCTTTGTGTTGCCAGCCCTCATCAGGCTGGTGACCTGGGAACTGGTCAGTGAAGATAGATAGCACCTCATCACCTTAGGCCATTCCCTTGGGAAGCTGGCCAGCAGGAATTGGCCTAGAGCGCCGATACCTAGGTACTGGTACTCTGCTGAGGGAATGATGGTTCATCCTATGTGCTCATATTGTTAGGATTGGGGGGCAACCAAGAGACTTCTAGCTTCATTTCATCCCTCAACCCCTCATCCTTCTGAATTCATCTGATCAATGGTAGTGCCATTCTCCCACTAAACTCAAAGCCTCTGGCCTCTACTGATCCATCACCCACCCCCTCAGTACAGTGTGTCCTGGGTCAGCTACTTCCTCCTTCCCAACCATTCTACTTTTGTACTCCATCTCTGAAGCATGGAATTCAGGTTTTAGAATCAGGCCCATCCATAGTCTCAGCTTCCTGGAGCCTGTTTCTTCAGCTGCACAGTGGGAAATGCCCATGACATCTCACTCCGAGGGTGACTGTGACAAATGGAGAGAATACAAAGACCTGCCTCAAGAAGTGTGGATTCTCAACAGTACTACTGTGCTTCAGAGCCCCCTGGCTCTCCACACATGACAGGGTGAAGTCTGGGTACTTAGCAAAGAATCCAGTTCAGGTGGGGAAAGGCTGGCCACTGACATCCAAGGCATTCCCCCATCAGCCTCTAGCCCAGGTGGGCCAACCTGAGCATGTGTTTGGCTCCAGGCAAGGAAGCTCTGTCCCTGCAGCTGCTCACCCTTCAAAATGTGTGCTGACCACATGGTTGGTCAGAAGGCACCAACTTGTCATTGGCTCCTCACTAGTTATCCCACCTCTTCATGCCTGGGGGAGGGATATTCAGCATTACAGTGGATAAACACTAATCGGCCAGGTAGTTAAATTTAAGGGTCCCCATGGAGAGGAGCCCCTGGTCAGTGGAGTGGCCAGGACAGGGGGAGTACACTGGGGGCCCTACTCCAAGCTAGAAACGGGCCTCTCAATAGTTTGGACTCGAGTGCTGGGAGGGGGTGGGGGCTCCTCCAGCTGTTAGAAGGCAAGGGCTCAGCCACGCCCCCGTGTGCGGCAGGGTGTAGAGTGCAGGCCCTCTCCGTCCAGCTCCCTGGAGGCACTCGCCGGGGCCTGGATCTTTTTGGCCTTCGGGACCTCGTCAGTTTTTGCCTCCAAACCCGGAGGACCAGAGTGGCCCTGCATTAGGCGCAGGTAGGGGTCTGCTCGCGCACGCCCGGCCCGCTCCCAGCTGGGGTGTCCGCCCCTCTCTCCGCCTCCAGCTGGGCCCGCCCCCGCGCCTGTGTCACCGCGGGGCTGGGGGTGGAGAGCTGTCGGGCGGGACATCCGGCCGTTCTCTCCCTGCGCTCTCCCGCCGCCCGCCTCCCGCTCCGGCGCCTCCGCTGGGGAGTCCGCCGCCTCCGCGTGCGCCTTGGTCTCGGGTCAGCGCTCCCCTCCCGGACCCCGGCCCGCGTTGCGGCCCCAAACCATCGGCGCCGGGTCCCAGCCGCAGCCCGTCTCCCCGACAGGCAGCCCGGGATCGGCCGGCCCGCGCAGGCCCCCAGCACCGGAGCACCATGTTCCCCCGCCCGCTGACCCCGCTGGCGGCCCCAAATGGCGCCGAGCCCCTGGGCCGGGCGCTGAGGCGGGCCCCCTTGGGCCGGGCCCGGGCCGGGCTGGGGGCGCCGCCCCTGCTGCTGCCGTCCATGCTGATGTTCGCGGTGATCGTGGCCTCCAGCGGGCTGCTGCTCATGATCGAGCGGGGTATCCTGGCCGAAATGAAGCCCCTTCCCCTGCACCCTTCCAACCGCGAGGGCGCAGCCTGGCGCGGGACGGTCCGCCGGCCTGGGGGGCTGACCCTGGATGCCGGGGACTCGGACTTGCAGGTGAGGCAGGACATCCGAAACCGGACCTTGCGGGCAGTGTGCGGACAGCCGGGCATGCCCCGGGACCCTTGGGACTTGCCAGTGGGACAGCGGCGCACCCTGTTGCGCCACATCCTCGTGAGTGATCGCTACCACTTCCTCTACTGCTACGTCCCCAAAGTGGCCTGCTCCAACTGGAAGCGGGTGCTGAAGGTGCTGGCGGGCGTCCTGGACAGCGTGGACGTCCGCCTCAAGATGGACCACCGCAATGACCTGGTGTTCCTGGCCGACCTGCGGCCTGAGGAGATCCGCTACCGCCTGCAGCACTACTTCAAGTTCCTGTTTGTGCGGGACCCCTTGGAACGCCTTTTCTCTGCTTACCGCAATAAGTTTGGTGAGATCCGAGAGTACCAGCAGCGCTATGGGGCTGAGATCGTGAGAAGGTACAGGTCAGGAGCTGGGCCCAGCCCTGCAGGGGACGATGTCACCTTCCCTGAATTCCTGAGGTACCTAGTAGACGAGGACCCTGAGCGCATGAATGAGCATTGGATGCCTGTGTACCACCTGTGCCAGCCTTGTGCTGTCCGCTATGACTTTGTAGGCTCCTATGAAAGGCTGGAGGCTGATGCCAACCAGGTGCTGGAGTGGGTGCGGGCACCACCCCATGTCCGATTCCCAGCTCGCCAGGCCTGGTACCGGCCTGCCAGCCAGGAAAGCCTGCACTACCACCTGTGCAGTGCCCCACGGTCCCTGCTGCAGGATTTGCTGCCTAAGTACATCCTGGACTTCTCCCTCTTTGCCTACCCACTGCCCAATGTCACTAGGGAGGCCTGTCACCAGTGACCATGGGAAGGGGCCAGCAGCTGTTGGAGGCTGGTTTTGACAGTGCCAGCTTCTCATGCCTGCCATTCAGAGAAATCCTGGCTCTGAGCCTGGAGCTTCTCCAGATATCTGGATGACAGGGACGGCCCTTGGAAGTTTTTTGTCCAGGGTGCGTGCCCAACATGGCTCAGAGGACGGGGTTGGACAGGAGGCCTGGTGCTCTCCCATTGGGGGCATTTCTTGGGGCCAGTATGATCCTTCTTATCCTGGCAGAGCCAGATACTAGTTTGCCAGTGAAGTAACACATCTGTTCTGTAGACTAACTGGACGGATTGGGCACTTGGCTCACCTTAACCTGTGGCCAAACCCAGAGGTGGCACCCATCAGGAGCACAACCAGAGCCAGGGGCCCTGTGGCTATGGTCACCCGTTCATCTACGAGTTAGACGTCATGCCTTACAAATAACTTTTGTGCCTTTCTGCTTCAGACTCAGTTTCCTACACTTGCCATGTCCTTTCTATATTTCCAAGGAAAGGAACACTGAGTTAGGGCTCTTGCCTGGTAGCTCCAGGACCCACCCCTGCAGGCATCCAAAGAACCCTGTGCCCAGCCTCTTCTTGGAGCTCTGGGCACCTCCTCCCTTCCCCCAAGGCTGTGACTGTGGCTGGTGTATCTGGCTGTCACTTTTCTGACACATTTATTTAAAATTTGTACTTTTTGATAGAACCCTTGTGAAAGCTTTGTTTTTTCTAATAGCTGCATTTTTATTAAAGATGTTTTGTACACAAAGTCAGCATCTCTGATTCTCCTTCTGAGTTCCTCTGCATCGAGCAAATCTCCCAAATGTCCATCTCCCCAGGTCAGGAGAGGGAGCTTACAGGTACAGAAAGGAAGACAAAATGTAACTTGTTTGGGCCAGACTGGTGGGCCACTGCCATAGCATGGAGAATTTGGGAGCACCCCATAGGCCATACCTGATCACAGACTCAGCTTCTGGGCTGCCACCGCTGGCTGGGCAAACCCCATTAGGAATGGCACACCCCCATGGCTTATTCCCTAAAGAAGGAGGTGGGTATGAGACACTGGCTCCTACTCCTCTTAGGCAGGAATAGTTCTTGACTAAGGATGCCCCAGATGAAAAGGGGGGTTGCTTTGTGAGCAAGGGGAGGTTACTATATTCCTGGCCTTGAGAATTACAAGGAAGGCAAGGAGGTTGAGTGAGGAGCAGGCTCTTGCTGACTTAGGTCCAGAGGAAGTGGTGGGCGATGTGGGAGGATGTATAGCTAGCCTTGCTATTGGCCTGGCGTTGGAGGAGAAGTTGGGAAAGGGGGCTTCTATGGACACTCGCCTTGACTCACCAGGAGGCCTTACTTGCCTTATCTGATCTCTTGTCTGGGTCAGGTGCCACTCTTCAGGGCCCCCTTGGCTCAGGGGACTCCACCTCAGACAGCACTTACCATGCTCTGTTGTAATGGCCCAGTTACTTGTCAGTCTCCCCACTGAGACTGAATTGTGTGAAGCTGAGACCATGTCTATCTTGTTCCCAGAACCTAGCCAAGGGACTGGCCCACAATACGCATGTACATGGCTCAACAGAACCAAGGTGTATATCTTACTACAGGACAGAGAGCACTGCACTTGGAGTCACCCAGACCGATCAAGTCCCACCTCTGCTCACCAGCTGCCTAACCACCTCTCTGAGCCTTCACATACTCCACTGTCTCATGGGAATAATAACACCTATGTTATGCTGATTGCTGTGAGGATTAATGAAAACAAAATGAGTAAAAGGGTCCATCCCAGCACTTGGTTCAGTGATTGTTCTTTGAGATGCTAGTTGAATATCTGATCCCTTCGTGGCCTGTGTGGATAGGGGAGAAGCCAGGACACTGTGTCCGCCCAGCACTGGAGATCAGAGCTGCCTCTGGGTAGAGCCCCTTTGACCAATGGGTTCACTTCCTGTGCTTGCCAGTCAGTCCTCTGAGCTTTCTGCCCCTCATGGGCCCCACACCGACTCTGCCCCAACTTCTTCCTCTTTGCCTGGGAACTGCCGCTTCAGACCTATAGCAGCCTCTCAGAACCCAGAGAACCCAGAGGATGCTGGGCCAGCTGCTATGTTTACTTCATCTCAGTCTTCACAACAGCCCAATGCTTTAGAGACATGGAAACTGGCTCAAAGAGGGTAAGTATCCCGCCCAAAGTCCAACCCAGGTCTGTGTGCTCCCAAATTCAGAGCCGAGAGAGAGAGAGAGAGAGAGAGAGAGAGAGAGAGAGAGAGAGAGAGAGAGGTGGGGGTTGAGGGAAGAAGGAATGAATACAGAGGTTAAGAAGATGAAGGGCAGCTAGGGAGGTCATATTACGGGCATTTGCACACATTCTCCCTCAGTTCTTTCATTCCTTCATTTGCAAAGAATCCAGTTTAGCCCAGCTGACATTTACCAGTCCCCTCCCTGAAGGAGTAGGAGACAAATGAAGTCCTTGATGTGCTTAGCTTATTGAATACTCTTCTCAGGCATTAAAGCAGCAGTTCTCAACCTGTGGGTCGCGACCCCTTTGGGGGTCGAACGACCCTTTCACAGCGGTCGCCTAAGACCATTGGCAAACACATATTGAATATATAATTACATATTGTTTTTGTGATTAATCACTATGCTTTAATTATGTTCAATTTGTAACAATGAAAATACATCCTGCACATCAGATATTTACATTATGATTCATAACAGTAGCAAAATTACAGTTATGAAGTAGCAATGAAAATAATTTTATGGTTGGGGATCACCACAACATGAGGAACTGTATTAAAAGGTCGCGGCATTAGGAAGGTAGAGAACCACTGCATTAAAGAGTGGCCGGCCGCAGAGCATCTTGACAGCCAGTATCAGACACCTGTGGTGTGGGGAGGAGGGATTGAGGAAAGAAGATGAGGGGACCGCTGAGACAAATGGCCACCTACTGTCATTTTTCCCTCTAGAGTCAGCCCCTGAGGAAATCAATTTGTCATATACCTCTCCTTTTAGGAAAATAGGCTTCTTAACAGAAGCTGCCAAGGAGCTGGCAGAGAGTTGTGAGGTCCAGCTGGCCCGAGTGCAGCCTGCTTTAGATTGGCACCTAGGCCAGAGCTGAGGGCAGGAGAGCTGGCAAGCTCTGGGTTGCCAGGGGTGGGGCAGGGGCATTCTCAGGACTTGACACTTGGACTGTGTCTTCTTAGGGTTCTCCCTTTGCATTGAGCCAGCTCTCATCCCCACAAGGAGTCAAGCTCTCCACCACTGACTATGAAAACAAGGGTCCCCTTCATAACTCCATTCCCAACCAACCCAGTTCTCTGGACACAGGGGGACTGGCAATTATTTAACTTCTTTCACCGGTTGAAGGCCGTGAACAAAGGAAAGGGGAGGGGCTGGGAGGGGCCTGGCCTTCCAGGTCTGGACCCTGACTCCACTTCCAGGCTCCAATTCTGGTTCATTTTCCATCCTGTCTGTTACTACTGCCCAGAAACCATCTCACCTTAAATTCTGAGATGGTTTCCTCTCCCTTTTCTTCTCATACCTCTGTTCCCGCCCTCCAGGAGGTTCCCACCACATGTACCCTGTACAGCAAGCATGTTATTTGGCTCGTGTTAGCCTTTGAGTTTGACATGCTTGCTGTACAGGAAGCAAGATCTGAGTGGAGCAGCTGACCCTCCCCCTGGGTGAACACGGAACCCTCACCTTTTCCAGGGGCTCATCACCAGAGAGGGCCAGCCTCCTGGCCTTCTCCCAGGGTGGATCCAATGCTTTTTAAAAAAAATATATTTTTATTGATTTCGGAGAGGAAGGGAGAGGGAAAGGGAGATAGAAACATCAATGATAAGAATCATTGATTGGCTGCCTCCTGCACACCCCCCAGTGGAGATCGAGTCCGCAACCCGGTCATGTACCCTTGATCAGAGTCGAACCTGGGACCCTTCAGTCCGCAAGCCGACACTCTATCCACTGAGCCAAACCAGCGAGGGCAGATCCAGTGCTTTTAATATTGAACCAGCCCCTGCCTGGCTTCAAGGAAGAGGAAAGACATTCTTTCTCTGCCTGAAGTTAAATACTAATATTTAACAATAGCTACTCTGAAATCAGAGCACCTGTGCCAGGCATGCTGATAAGTACTTTACATGTATCCTCTCCATTCTAACAACAACCCAGCAAGGTAAGCAAAATTATTTCCACTTTATAGATGAGGAAATTACGCCTAAGTGACTTGCCCAAAGAGATGAAGGGGTTGGGATTAAAACCCAGCTCCATCTAATGTTTGCTCCTTTGTAAATGCATCATAAATTACCCAGCTCATTGCATTTGCTGACAAGCGTTGTGTTCATTTTCTCTGATTTCTGCACCCATTCCCAGTTCTTCTTTTCAACGCTCCACAAGCAATTCTGTCCACAGAACTCTCCAGTTATTATAAAATTCTCTAGATTTGCCCACCCTGAGTAGTGCTGGGCCCAGGTCCTGACTATGCTAGAGTCTAGCAGCTAGACTTTCAGCTCGGCTCCTCTGAGAGGCAGATACTAAGGCAGAATTCGACGTGCAAGAGATTTATAGGAGAAACAGCTGTCAAGGATAAAGGGGAAGGGAGCATCGGCTGGAAGAGCCTGACACGTGTGAAAGGAGAGATGGAAGGAAAAATTGTGTGGGAAGAGCCTCAGGTTACAGTGTAGCTCTAAGAAAGCCTCTGCAAGACCAATGGGGAAGCCCAGGCAAAGCGTACCTATTGGGGGAATCCTCCCTCGAGCAGAAATGGGAAGGCGGCACAAACAGGAGGCAGATCAAAGAGAGAAAGTTGTAGCAGCAGCTGGGGGCTGTCAGCCAATTACACTCCTCACAGCAGGTTTTCTTGAAGGAAGATGTGAACTCAGCACCTCTGTGGCCACTATACAGGCCCAACTTGGTTACTCTGACTTACGGGCATTTGTCCCCCAAAGTTCTGTTGGCTTGTGACCTGGTCAACAACCAGAAAACAGCTGTTGCCCTAGTAAGAACCTCTAAGTTGTCTGGGGGATCCTGAACTTAACTCTTCCCACAGCCATTCCTTGGTTTTATAGTGGGACTACGGCCCCTGCCTTGGGCATTGGAGGACATGTGCCATCACCATGCCAAATGCCCATGCTGTCATTTTCAAGGTATTTCCTCTGCAGTTTATCCAACTTGCTGCAGGTTTTGATTATCCTTGGTCTGTGCCTTTGTCATTAACTGGGTAAATATTGATGACCACCTTTGCCTAGCTTCCACCTCTCATAGGCTCAGCAGACTCACCCAGAGGTTGAGTCTGGGTGCTGGAACCCCAGACCTCCCAAGGGGTATAGTCTAGGCTTCCTCCCAGTCTGATCATTTACATACACACCAGGGCAGCCTGAGAGGGACGCAAGTCTCCCTAAAGGGAGTTTCCAAAGACCCGCATGCCCATAGCACCAGGTCTTCTATAGCATCCCCCTACTGAGCTTTTAAATATATATATATATTATTGATCTTATTATTGAATATATTATGGATTTTCAGAGAGGAATGGAGAGGGAGAGAGAGAGAGAAATATCAATGATGAGAGTGAATCATTGATTGGCTGACTCCTGCATGCCCCCCACTGGGGATCGAGCCGCAACCGTAATCAAACCTGTGACTTCCTGGTTCATAGGTTGACGCTCAACCACTGTGCCACATCAGCCGGGCCCCATGGTGAGCTTTTGAGCTTATTACATCCCGGTTCTGGACCAGTCGGCAGAGGAGTCCCAAAGAGAAAGAGAATCACAGCATCAGTCCTGA